TGCTTTAACAACTCTTCTTCCTTTGATTCTCTTGCTATATATTGAGAGATAGAAACATTATTAAAATGAGTGAATGACTATCTTAGTTACAATTTTGGAATATGTAGAATCAATGCTCTAACATAAACATGATAAAGTAATGGTTATTAAGCACCAACCTCTTACCTTAATAATAGTCAATATATATGGTATATTTTCTACAAAACAACAAACATGCATAAAAATATAAAAATGACATATTCATTCAAATATTCAACACAAATAATCAGTTTAACATACAACATACAGTTTAATTAATAACATATTTGATCATTCTAAGTTCATTGACCAAAGAAAAACTAAATGGGTTACTTACGGTGGATTTTCGATAACTGAGCGGGGAATGTTATCGACGGAGCAGTCAACATGAAGCCGATAGAGGCGGTGACAAAGAGGTGAACAAGCCGTTGGCGATGGAGGCATCGTTCAATGACGGAGGAGAACGTCGGCGACGGAGAAAATTAACGAAGCGAGAGCGAGAATGAGTGAAATGAGAATAGCATAGTCACGAAAAAAGAAATAGGGTTTTTCCGACGGCTTCTGCCCCGGAAACCTTTCCAGCTGAATTTCTGTCCACAATATTTCCTCGGGATTAAATAAGCCGTCAGATTTTCCGCCGGAAGTTCCACACATCATATTCGGCGTATTTTTGCCGGAAGTAACCACCAGCTTTATAAAAACCAACTATTTTTTCGACAGTTCTCCGGCGGTCTATCCGCCGGAAAATGCTAAGTATCCGACGAAATATCCGCCAGTTAAACCATCGCTTCTACCAGCGGACGAAATTTCACAGAAAAACAGAGATTTTTCTATAGTGAAAGTCCCCTTTCTCATGTTTGGATAAACTTCGTTTTGTTACCTTCTATAACCTCCTCCTTTGATGACTGATCTCCTAGAAAAGCGGAGGGTTTTCATTTAAATTTAATGCTCATTTTGTGAATGGTGAAAATTTAATCTTTTGGGCCAACAAAAAAGAACGAAGATATATGCCAACGGCTCATTAACCAATTGAAGATTATCTAAGAAGAGTTTCCTTTGTCTTCCTTTTGTGAATTGTTCCACCTTTTTTAAAATTTTTCATTCTTCTCTATCCTTTGTCTCCGTGACTCCGTGTGACATCCTTTGATTCACCTTATTGCGTTTTAGTTTTTTCTACCTATAATATTCTCCCCACCCCTTGAATCAAAATCATCTTTCTTTGTTGTCAAGCTCTGCGTGCCATAAACTTTATTTCACATTAATCTCATTATAAATCTAAATATTATTAAATTAATTTTGATATAGGCTTCATTTGGGGAGAGATTATTCCGTGCTGCATCCGAATACGCCCGGAAGCGAATCTGGACGCGCCACATCACCGGGTGCACTAGTCCTCGTTGACATCCGGTGACATGGTGCGTCCGGATTCGCCTCCGGACGCCGCACAGAATAATTTTTCTAATTTGAGACAACTTTCTTACCCCTTTGAAAGCATGAAATACACAAAGATCTAAAACTACCGAACCTATAACCAAATCAAAATATCCTCTTATAAATTTTTTTTTCCTTGCAACAAAGCGAAGCTCATGACAACATTTTAAAAAAAAAATATTGGAACTATGAAACCTGTAATTGCAGTCAATGTTCACAAAAGTGGTAGGATGGAAGATCTGTCCAAAAGTATCAAACTCAACTCATGTTGTAATCTTTATTGGTGGCCATATTTTGGTGGTAGGTTTGGTGAATTGTCAATAATTAAAATATTTGTCTACCTTTTACTCCTAATAGTCAGTCACGCTCAGCACCTACCACTTTCACCTAATTTCAATCTCAAGTGTTAGGTGGATCTCTATAAGAATCAAAATATTACAATTATCTTTTATATTTGCATTTAGATATAAGATCAAGATCATTTATGACACATGATTTGTAAACTTTTAGGTAATTTAAATAACTGCAACAAAATATTGAATTTATTAAGTTTGATTCATACAAAATATATAAATTTTAAAGTGAACTTCTAAATTTTTTTTTTCAATACTTTAATTATCATAGCAATCAAGAAATATTTTATATTAATAATTTTCATTTATAAAAAAAAAACAATATGAAGATAATATAAGTTAATATACATAGAAATAAATTAGTAAAACAATTGTCATTTTTGAAAAAAATTCCCATAATCTCTCATTTTTTATTTTCCAAATTTTAATTTAGTTAAGGTGTTGTTTGGTTTTTTGAAAAATAATGTAAAATATTTCAAATGTATTGGATTTGAAAAATTTTATGTTTGGCTTGATGAAAAAGAAATATAAAGTAAAATTTTGATGATTTTTTTTCACTTAGTAGTTAGTAGTACATTTTTTTTATGTATTCTAAATATTTCGTTTTTAGCCGAATTCTAAAATACATCACAACTTGACTTGATATCCCCACATAAGCTGCTATCTGCGCCCACACTTGCCATCGACTGCCATTCATACTCGCCATTAAACCCCCGTCGACAATTGACTGTTATGATCGTCACCACTATCCTCAACTGTTATCCCCGACCACCGGCCACTATCATTATCCGACTTTATGCTAAAATTTGATATGACTTGATCACCCAATCAACAAATACAAGAATTTGTATTTTACATCCTAAATAATTTTTTTTTTCTTGAAATCATCAATTTAATCAGATGATGATATAAATTAATCATGCATAAGCCCAAAACAATAGTCTAAATTTTTACTATGAGGTGTCTCTCTATAACTCCTAATATAAATAAAGAAAATAAAAGCTTGACACGCATCATATTGAAATTAAAAAAAAAAAAAAACTAAGTAATTTGACTCTCTTCAAGCTGATTTTCCTGTCAAACTTGGCGGGCAGGACTCATCGGTGTCATGGCACTAATTATTCTGCTCTGAATCTCTCAAAAAATTAATTTATTTATATTTTTTTTATTAAAAGTTTTTTTTTTTTTAACTTACAATATCTATCGTATTTTCTGAGAAATAATTTTTTAAAAACAAAATGTAAGATATAAATCGTGAAAATTTTTCTCATTCAAATCTATTTCTTACATCACAAAAATAATAGAAATTACCCCCAAACAAAAAAAAAATTGCACCAAATGTTTACTTTAAAGTGGCCGATGCTGATCTTTCATAATAATTGGTATCTGTTCTTGTATGTTAAAAGAAGCTGTTTAGAGCATGAAACATGTGGGCTATTAAATATTTTCTAAACTTTGGGTCAATTTGAGGAGAGGTTATTATGTGCGGAGTCCAGATCCGAAGAACCGTTCGGTCATGTGACTGTGAACAGTAAAAACACAGTTACCGTTCACCACTGCACTTTTATTGTTCACAATCACAACCGAACAATTCTCTGGATTTGAACTCCGCACAAAATAATCTCTCAAATTTGAGGCGGGTGTAATTTTTAATAAAAATGATTATAAAATTATTGCATAAATTTTTTTTTTTTTGAAAGTTGCTTTTTTTTAGTAGCTTTCTAACACTTTTTTTTAAGTAAAAAAATATTGGTCAAATATAAGACAACTATCCCAAAAGGAAACCTTTATCTCTGTAAAATAGAAGCAATTATTAGGTCCTTTCACTGGATGTAGAGGAAGGTTCGGTTTTAGGCAAAAATAGGTCAAAAAGTGCAAATACCGAGTTTTTCAAAAAACTCGGTATTTTTTCAAAAAACTCGGTATTTGCACTTTTTTAGGCAAAACCGAACCTTCCTCTAGGTCCTTGCACCGGACCAAATAAAAATCCGTAAAATAGATATCAATTATGAATAATTGAATATCATAATTTATTTTTGTTTGGTGTATTAATTTTATCTTATTTTAAATTTATTTGATTTAGTTCAAACAATCAATTTCATTTATTTTATTCATCTGAAATTTTAATTTACTTGATTAATGGTATTAATGTCGCTGATTATATTTTTAGTAAAAATAATTATATACATCCTATTAAAAATCATACATATTTATAAATCTAACAACAACAACAACAACAACAACAACATCAAGCCTTTATCCCACTACGTGGGGTCGGCTTTATAAATCTAACACCTAAAAAAAAAAATTAAATACTCATAATCATGTAAATATGAATGCTGAGATTAAATTTTTGCATGGAAATTTATAAGCTACAAAATAGGAATCTTTGGGGTTTGAAGAATCTCCTCAGACATTTCAATAGAACAATTTTAAGCGACAACTATATTAATTTATAAAGTTGATGGTAAAATTATTATGAAGAAAATAATTTTTCTTTTCTTTTTAAATAAAATAATTTTTCACAACAAATAATTTTGAAAGTAGCAAAAAAAAAAGTCAAATAAAATTGTGGTTATTTTCTGAAAGGCAAAGAAGTCAGAAAGCTACCTCTAATAAATTCTAAGGCTTTATTTGAGACAACTTTTTTATGATTTTATTTTTCTGATCATAGTAATAATTTTTATTTGATTACTATTTTTTTATTGATTTTCAAAAAAATTTATGCTAGAAGGCTAATTTTTACTATAAATTTTAAAAAATTACTTTCTACAAAGTAGCTTTTCAACCATTTTTATAAAATATTTCGATTGTCTCAAATGAATTCTAAAGACAACAACCATAATTTTTATTTATTTCTACCAAAATAGAAAATCATGTAAGAAAATTATATTTATGTAAAAAATATTCTTATTATTAATTTATTTAAAATAAAATCTACCTTATACTAAATCCGTTAGAATAATATACTAAATATAAAAATTTAGGTACGGGAGATGTAAAAATCTAAAAATTTTGTGGTATGTAAGTAAATCCGTTAAAAATACGTGGTCAAATTTTGATTTTTTTAGACCTCTAACCTGGTGGACCGAGCCGATGAATATAGCCTCAAAGTCGGCTCCGAGGAGGGGTAGGTAAGAAGCATTTCAACCGTCACCGCGGTTCCACCGGTAACAACCAGTGATGAGAGGTCGACCACCGACTATGCCCGGTGAACGCGTCCGCCATATGTGGATCTAATCGTCCAACAACCGTCCCTCATCTATAAATTGGGGCCGCGGTGAAGGAGATAAACTCGTGAAAGGAAAGGAAGGCAGAAGGCATTTGTCTCGCGTACAATCGAACAAAGGTGAGCGACGAATCTTTAATCAGTTCTCAGTTTTGTTCTATGTGAATTCGGTGTTCCTTCATTCCTTTGGCGTCTCTTCCTTTTCAAGGCATGTACAAGTTATGCGTACTATGTAGGTTTTGCGGTGTTAAGGTGGAGTGGCCAGATCTGTCGGGATTGAGAATTGATGAGCGATTTTTCCTGGGGTTTATACGGTTTGTGGGAGGATGAGTGGCATTCGTCCTTCTCTTTGTGTTTGTGTGTGTTTTTGTTTTTTTTAATCGGGGAGGAGTTGGATATATGTAGATCTGAAGGATTTCTTTGTTGATTCTCTGGGATATTAGCATTATGAAGACTGGTTCTGCTCTAGATCTGTCGATGATAAGATTTGTTGGTGCGTAGTTTTGATGTTGTCTTCTGAGATTAGTATTTTGTATTTTGGTCTGTAAAATGTAGTGGGCTTTCGATCTAATTGTTCTCTTTTTAGATTGTTGTTAGCAAGGGCTTTTGTTTTTGGTTCTTATGTGGTGGATCTTCAATCTCATTGTGTGTTTTGTTTGCCGGAGGCTTAGGTTTTTTGTTCGTTTGTTTTTTAAATCTTCCGTGCTGTTGCGGTTATAATTTTTGTGATTTCTCGTTTTTATTGTACACAGTGTTTGGGTAATGCTTGATGAATTTGCTCTCTTTTTTGTTTATTCAGATTCCAAATGGCAGACACCTTCCTTTTCACCTCCGAGTCTGTGAACGAGGGTCACCCAGACAAGCTTTGCGACCAGGTATCAGATGCCATTCTTGATGCATGCCTCGCGCAGGACCCCGACAGCAAGGTTGCATGTGAGACCTGCACCAAGACCAACATGGTCATGGTATTTGGTGAGATCACCACTAAGGCCACTGTTGATTATGAGAAGATTGTCCGTGAGACCTGCCGCTCCATTGGATTCACCTCCGATGATGTTGGCCTTGATGCGGACAAGTGCAAAGTTCTTGTTAATATCGAGCAACAGTCTCCTGATATTGCCCAGGGAGTTCATGGTCACTTCACCAAACGCCCTGAGGATATTGGTGCTGGTGACCAAGGCCACATGTTTGGGTATGCCACTGATGAGACTCCTGAGCTCATGCCTCTCAGCCATGTCCTTGCCACCAAGCTTGGAGCTCGACTTACCGAAGTTCGGAAGAATGGCACCTGTGCCTGGTTGAGGCCGGATGGCAAGACCCAGGTCACTGTTGAGTATCGCAATGACAATGGAGCTAGGGTTCCCATCCGAGTCCACACAGTCCTCATCTCCACACAACATGATGAGACTGTCACCAACGATGAAATTGCTGCCGACCTCAAGGAGCATGTCATCAAGCCAGTCATCCCTGAGCAGTACATTGACGAGAAGACCATCTTCCATCTCAACCCATCCGGCCGCTTTGTCATTGGTGGACCTCATGGCGATGCAGGACTTACAGGCAGGAAGATCATCATCGATACCTATGGCGGCTGGGGAGCCCATGGTGGTGGTGCCTTTTCTGGCAAGGATCCCACCAAGGTTGACCGCAGTGGTGCCTACATCGTCAGGCAGGCTGCCAAGAGTCTCGTGGCCAATGGACTCGCTCGTCGCTGCATTGTTCAAGTTTCCTATGCAATTGGTGTGCCCGAGCCTCTCTCGGTGTTCGTTGATACCTATGGCACTGGCAAGATCCCTGACAAGGAAATTCTCAAAATCGTCAAGGAGAACTTTGACTTCAGGCCTGGAATGATAAGCATCAACCTTGACCTTAAGAGGGGTGGCAATGGCCGGTTTCTGAAGACTGCTGCGTATGGGCACTTCGGAAGGGATGACCCCGACTTCACCTGGGAGGTGGTCAAGCCCCTCAAGTGGGATAAGGCTGCTGCGTAAGATTAAAACCTAAACTATTCAAATAACGTCTCTATATCCGTCGTATATGGTATTACGATACTCCCTCCTCTGCTGATCTTTCTGATAAGTCATCACATCGTTTATTCATTGTAGTTCTCTTGTTATCTTTTTTTTTTCCCCTCTTCTTGTGGGCGTGGGAAACAATGGAAGCATCAGTTTAGAAACTTTTCAGTTCGTTTCGGAGTTTGGATTTATGCTTAATCATTGTGGGTTTAATGAAAACAATTATTGTTTCTTATCCTATGAAGTTCTTATATGTTTAATTTGATTTGCTTAAAGTGCTTGATTTGATGCTTAGTCTCTGTGAAATTTATTGAAATCAAAATTAAATGTGTTCAATTATTTGTATGGAATTATGCAGTTGTGAAATGTGTTCTAAATTTTGTTTTTTGATGGTTTTTTTATTGTTTCTTAAATAATTAAAATTTTTGTATTAGAAAGTTGTTTTAAGAAGCAGTAAAAAAATCGTCCCAAATAGAGCCTTAGTTGTCTAACTTCTCAAATATGATTCGAAATGGCTTTTGATGCAGTATTAAAGATCAAATTTGAAGAATCAAATAACTATATTTTTATATTCGATTTTAGTTAAGACATTAAATTCATAATTTTTTTTAATTTAAAAAAATTAGGATTAAAATTGTCCAACAAAGGGATTATTATTATTGGTTTCTTTTTGTATATATATAACTAGATTGAACTCATATAGCTAGCTTTGTAGCTGATGATTGGGCTTGTAGTTGACCAGTAGTCATGAACTTTCTATGAGTTCTCAATTAAGGGTGAGTGCCTTGGCATATTTTTCTTGCAAAAACATTTGGTCAGTTAGTAAGTTCTTCATGTAGATTGCCTTCATAGGAGGGTGACTTTTGTAAGTCATTTAGATGAGTTCATTAACTTTGTGTTGAAGATTGATTTGAGGTCGATTATTGGACGGCTTGGATGAGATTCGACTCAAGTTATTCAAAGCTTTGGGGGATTTAAGACTTGACAAGTTTCATATTGTAGATAGTTCAAACTGGAACATTATAAGGGATTTAATTTTCATCATGATTTACTTAAATTTTTTTTTTTTTGGGACATTTAGGTCAATGAACGCAGACTCACACACACATTCTATATACAAGATTCGAACTCAGGACCTCTTAATAGCCTAAGTTTTCAATCAACAGACCAAGATGAGTTGTGTATGATTTAATTAGTTTGACTACAACGAATATAAGTGGAATCACTTCATTGATTCTTTGCCTAATTTGAAAAACCAAAAAGGAAATTAAAAGAGGTTTATGTTCCAATATAACCAAATGCAATCATGCATGAATCTTCAACACATAGTTACCCCATTAACATTATAGCCTATAAATTTGATGTTCATATTTTATGTTCAAAACATTTTTATTTTGTTATTATTTTGTAATTATTTTAGACCTTAATTCTTGTTTAAAGACGAGATTTAAAGGCCAATTTGAGATCAATTATTATAGATGGTCCTCAAAAGAGCCATGGGAGAATTGAGATTTCTTTAGGCAAATTGTTGTTAGAAAAACTCGGTACAACTCGGTATTGCTCGGTATTGGTCTTCACAGAGCGGTATTTTTTGTTATTGTCAAGCAATACCTAGCAATATCGAGCAAATACCGAGTAATACCTCGCAATACGCGAACATAGCATTCCCGGGTTCCGGTCCGGGTCAAGTCGTCGGGCCGCACGGTAAATAATAAGAGCACGTCTGCACGTGACGACATCTTATTGAAGGCCGAATGTAGCTCTACGTCCGATGAGAGGACGTAATAATTGTTCCTTGGTAGGTGAGATATGAAGACCATTTATTGATATAACATGCGGATAATCCAATCTTATGTCTAATTTAATGCACAGCTGTAGTTGCTTGTTACTCCATTAAAATGACGAATCGCAATGGCAACGCAATGAAAGAGGAAAAATAAAAAAATAAAAAAGGGCAGAGTGAGGACAGCTCAGCGTTTAATGAGCTTTTTTTTATAACTGATAATAAATTCCCTCTCTTTACTGTGGATGTAAAAGGGAATCCATTGTGCTAAGGGACCTGAATAAATATTAGCAAAAAATCTCTATGGTTAAAAACTCCTCTACAATTTTTAGATTCAACTGGATTTGCTCTCCACATGTAGTTTGAATCATTATGAGTATCATAAATATTTTATTTTTTCAAATGAACAAAACTCTCTTATAGTTTAATCAATTAAAAATAAATAATAATTTTTCCTTACAATTTTTTTTAAAATATAACTAGAAAATAATAATCAATTAAAACTATGATTGTGATATAAAAAATAAAATGGTGAAAAAAATTCTTCCAAATATATCTTTAAACTTGAAGTTGAATGAAACTAATCCAATAAAATTATGTTCAAACTTCAACGGGATCAAAATTAAGTACTTAATAAGTATAGTTGAAATTTCACAAAAGTATGCAAAGATTAAAATGATCTCCGTATTTTATATCCCGATAATTGAAATGAATAATTTGATGAGATGAATTCTAAAAATCTCGCAATTATGAAATCATTGATATGCTAAGATGTCCAAATAAATATCAAATGACCAAGTGATTAACTCTAACCCTACTATGAAATATCCTAATTTTTAATTGAAATGCCAAGGATTCCCCATCCAAAAAATTATAAATAAATCATATTCCTACAGTTTAGGAAAAATTTTATAAGAGAGACTTTAGATATTTAAAAAAGTTTCATAGCACTGTTTGTTAACACCTACCCGACAAATATCTTAGGGTTTAGGGTTTATGGTTTAGACCCTGAACCCTAAACAAATATCGTCCGCCACCATTAACTATTGCTAATGCCTATCATCAACTATTTTTGGCATCCATTGTTGCACAACGATGCATGGAGCCGACATCCTTTGATCTCCATTTCTGAATATGCAGTCACCATTCCCAGAGGCATTCAGAGGTAAAGCAGAGCACATCATGTCAATTTTTTTTTGTACTGGTGTTATGTACCACTATGTACCAAGTAATATGTCGCGCTCTGATTTGCTTCTGGACGGTTCAATGGCCGCACAAAATAATTATTCTCCCATCTCTGACCTACTCTATAACATCTATTGTCTTGTCTTGCAACCCTACCTTTTTGGATGAGCACTTCTCATTTTTAACATACATAATAAATTCTTCCAAGCTTGAGCTTCACCAAATTCAACCATAATCCATAAGTTCTCAACTGCAAAAGTATCCACGTATATATTGACCATATTAGTCAGTTTAAAAGGCCACTAAGAATATACATTTTTCATTATTTTCCTGGCAAGAAATACCATTTTGGAATGACTCAAGATGCTTAAGAAGCAGAATTCGGCAATGGTACTAATTTGATAAATGGCTATCCATAATGCCTACAAAATGAAGCATCTGCACATCTAATGCCAGAAAATTTATATTTCTCTGTGCAGCCGTTCTGCTATTAAATCAACAGGTAAAGATCCAAAGGGGACTGAGGACTCTAGCTCTTCAGAAAAATCATTAGAGTCTCTGTCATATTCCTCATTATCTTCAACTTGATTTTCATTATTTCCATATTCTGTAATGTCACTATCATCATTTGCTCCAGTACCAGAAAGAAACAAGGGTGGATACGAGTGTTCAGCAGCCTGTGACAAGCCTTCAAATTCTTCAACTCTCTCAAGAAGTGAATCTGGAGTGAGATCAGTCTCATCTAATAATAATGCTTTGTTTGACTCCAGAGCTCGCTTCCATAAGGACATCATTTTGGGGCTTGATACTACCTTGTTGAGCGAGGACTCATCGGCACTGTCAAGTGACAGATCTGCAAATGAATGTGTTAGAAAAAAAAAAACTGCTGTTTTCAGAAGAAAATAGCAACTTGACAGCAGCAACCTTGAGAAAACTGTAAAAAATCTGAGAGAAAGATGAAGGATTCCACTAACGGATGAAGAAAAATAACAATAATATAAGTTTCTTCAATTTGAGAGGAAGAAACGACTCTCCAAATCTCTAGTTGAGGACAAGAGCCCAAGCATACAAGAGGCCTCCAATTTCTAATTCAAATTCCAGATGAAACCCTAATTCTAGCATTAGCCACTTATTAAAGCCAAATGAGAAATAAATAAAAAATAAAAAAAGTCAAAGGAGAAATACAAAAATTCGTAAACAGCCACTAATTCAAATATTTCCCTCCAAAGCAATCTTTAATCAAGGTGTAGGCCCCATAGGTGCAGCTGACCCCTTATATCTCCCTTCCCTGGGCTAGCGGTTGTAGTAGTAAACCGGTCCACTAGGGACCATGGGCGGATCCCCATGTAATTGATTTGCCCCCCCTCAAAAAAAATTTTTTTTTTTATTTTAGTGAGATATTTTGAGTATTTTGGGTATTTTGTCCCCTCTCAAAAAATTTTTTTGCCCTCATTTAATCAATCCTAAGCATCTTTGCCCATCCCCCACAAAAAAAATATTTTTTGCCCACCCTGAAAAAAGAAGCTGGATCCGCCCCTGCTAGGGACCGGTTCAATAGGAGTCGTCGGTCCCTCTTGGACCAGCCTAACAGAATGACTCGTCTCAGTAATGAATATTATAACTAGATTCCTAATCATTGCAGTAGTCTTTCTCCGGTACATTTCGAAACAATTTTTAATTTTTAATTTTTTTGCATGAACAATTAAAGGCTATACCTGTCTTTATGTTTATATTTGTTTCTGAAAATTATAAATACTAAAAACTATGGAAATTTGATTATCGCGTAAAGCATTTGGAGTTCTTAAAGAGTGGTGTGTCATCATGGAATGTGGGTGATAGGAAATACTTGAGTTCGCAAGTAACCCTAGTCAAAACGGAAGAGCAAACAGCAGAAATTCTGCTGTCTACAGAAGAAAAGTAGAAAACAGAGTAATTTGGGTGGAAATCTGAAATAAAACCAAGCAAAACACTTGTATTTCACTAATAGAAGAATAAAAACAGCAAGATACACTTGATCCTCTATTCGAGAGGAGGATCGATCTCTCCCAAATCTGATGTAAAACATAATTGCATGGATGAATTGCTTTAAGGAATTTGCACGCTTAATCTTAGAGACCACAATAATTATATATTTGTATTGATTTTAAACGACAAAAGAAACACAATGAGCGGTAAGACAAGTTTAGGGTAAATCACATGCATAGGAATTAAGACCGTAAAACATTCAATTAATCTAACATTGCATACATGAAATGTGTCAACAAGAAATCCCTAGACTAACAATGAGATTAGTACTATGAAGGAGGTCCACTCACTCACTCACTCAACTCTCTAACTAACTTGGTTTTAACGGAGCGGGTTGACACAACCTTTAGGAATCAATTAAACCACAAGTCAAGATAAGACTTGGAAGAAAAGATTTGGAGAACAGGTTTACCTTCGTTAGAGTGGGGGTTGGTTACTAGAATGGTGTCGGAGCTTCTGGCCAACAGTTGGAGACTCCCTGGACAACTGGACAGCAACTAGAGTGGGCTGAAATTACTGGACAGCAGTTTCCAAGTTTCTGGAGCCTTTTAGTAGCAATGGGACTTCCTTTAGCCGTCGGACAACACTCTGTCTCCTCAGGGCAGCAATCAGGACAGGCTCAGGTTGGCTGGACAGCGAGGGGGTTTGCTGGGGAGGTCAGGGCAGGAAGTTGTTTGGCTCCGAACAACTTCTGGACGTGTAAACTGGGCTGTCCTTGAGATTTGGACAGCAAGTGTAGCTTCTATAGATAGCGGAACAGCATAAGAATTTGCTGAAATTCTCAAACAACAGCAAGGAAAATTGGGAGAGAAGGAATCCCGTATGACTGGAAGGTTTGGAATCAGTTTTGGGAAGGTGGGGAAGGGAGATGACTAGGCTGGCGACATCCATGAGAGGGAAAAGTTTTAGATAAGCGTTTAATTGCTTGCCAAATCAGTGATTTCATTAAGGAATGAGAAGATTCATCAATCTCATTTGAATTTGAATTGGACTTAATTTAGGGAGTTAATTGGGGATCATTAATGACAAAGTTTAATGAGAAAGAGGGAGTGGGTGGGCCGGCCTAGGAGAGGGGGGGAGAATTGTGTCTACATTCAATGTATGTGGGGTCATGGAGTTGATTTAGGGATTGATTTAAATCTGAAATTAAATTCAGATTTCATTAAATTAGAGGCTTCCTAAATGGGATTTATTAGGGAGTGAAATATTTGAAATTCAAATATCAAATCGAATTCAAACGAATGCACCTTCCTAATTGAGGGAAGTTATTTTAGGAAAGTATTTAAGGCAGATTCGAATTTTGAAATTCAAAATTCAAAGATCATTGGAGAAGGGGCCGGTGGCTAGTGGAAGCTAGGGGAGAACGGCGGGGAGGGGATTTGGGGGAGAATGGCGGCGTACGGGTGAGGGGAGGCCGGTGGCTTAGGGAGGTGGTGAGGGTGGTGGGTTAGGGAGGAAAAGGGAAGGGATTTGGGAAGCTTAGGCGGTGGAGCTAGAAGATGAATTGGGTGGAGGAGGTTGAGCCACCGGTGGTGGGGTAGTTGGAAGGGGTGGTGGATGGAGTGGGGGAGAAAGGAGATGGAAGCAAAATACAAATAAAATAAAAGTAAATTAACGAACTCACAAAGAGATCGTAAAACCGCGAACCTTGGACTCTTCCAAAGGTTGACGGGTATTGCGATTGCCCACACCTTGGGTCTCTCCTCCCATGAACTCACTTAAAGATCAAGCAAAGAAAATAAGATTTCATTTCAATATCCATCATCCCAAAATACAAAACAACTAGCCTATAAATAGGCCTTATGAAAAGAAAAGAAATAAAAGACTAAAATGCCTTTCGGGCTACAATACTACATGACCACCCGTAAGGGTATAAAGGGAAAAACAATAATATGAAATAAACTAGTACATATAAATAAATAACTCAAGATCGCAGCCATTGATCTCCGATGTCCTCATCATTCTCCCCAGATGGGAGAAAACTCGACTCCGTCGAGTGGGTGTCTCAAAAACTCTCGTGTATCTGAGTCGATCAGCTGTATCTCCTTGCGCTCTGATCATGTATCCTCTGACTCTGGTGTACCTCTCCACCTCATCAGCTATCTTCTTCGTCCACCCTCAATTGTGGAAATAATGTCATCACTCAGAATCATGTCAACCTTCTCCGCTATAGGTAATTTGGGAATATTCAGGGAGTGGAGGTAGGCTGGGGGGTTCTCACAGGGTGGGGTCACACAAGGCTCAATTTGAAGTGGAGGTGGTGGGTTAAACTTTGGACCCTCATAGGTTACTAATTCTTCTATGTTAATAGAGGGATGAAAGTTGAACTCTGCAGGCAGATCCACCACGTAAGCGCTATCAATGATTATTTGATGCATAGTTTATTTAAACTAATTTAAAATTAAATAAATAAATATTTGCTAAACATAGTACATATTGGAAGAATCATCTGAAAATATGTTAATTGATATTATTTTTAAATTTTGTCAATTCAGCTCACAATATGTTAGTCCCTATAAAATTTTTTTCTTATTCGAATAGTCTATTATATGTATATATTAAATTAATGTACACTCTTATTACACATTGTTGATGTACAGTTGCATTTCGTCTAGTTGTAATTAGTAGATCTAGGTGTTTCTTGTAGTATATCTAGTAAGATGCTAGTAATGAAATAATACAGATCTATGTTATGCTTTGATGATTATGATGACATATACATGCTATTGACTTTTGTTATATAGGAGATCTCGAGTAGCGAGACCACAAGTAATTTTAAGATTAATGCTCTATTTACAACTTGTTTTGCCAATATTACTTGCTACTTTTCCATATACAAGTACTTGTAATATGAAGTAACATGGGATTATTAAGTGCAACATTAAATCATCGAATAAAAATTAACTATTAAAACATGCAAGAAAAAGGATATTAAATTAAACGTCCCTTGTTTGTAATCCCCCCCCCGGGCAAAAAAAAAAAAAAAAAATCAATAATGAATGTTATAGCCAGGTCACAGGTTAACCCTTAAATGCATGAAATTAAAAGATTAACATCCCTCAAAACCTTATGAAGTATCTAAAATGGATAAGACTGTAATTTTAATAACTCAAAGGTGCTTGGTCGGCAATCAATTTGCCACTTACATCGAGAAAATCTAGTTTAGTGTTTTATGAATAAGATTGTTAGTTAGCCTTAATTATATGATTCATAGGTGACTCATTTTGATAAATCAAATACTTAAACTCTTAAGATCAATGACAAGAGGGTCATGTTGATAACGAGCAAGCCTAAAAGTCTTTCCACGTAAAAAAAAAACTCATGCCTAATGAGCTATGAAAACCTCTACATATGTTGAGCCAACATGCTTTGAAAAAGGAAAGTGCAACTCTGGGAGTAATTTATGCTTTAACAAATGCTGAATTGAACCGAGATATGACCGAGATAATATTAGAGCTTACAGATGTCAGTCAATTACTGTCTATATTTAAGGAACTATGTCCATATGAACTATCTGATGAATTACCACCACTTAGGGATATTTAGCACACTATTAATTTAATTCTTCAATCATCATCACTTAATTTATCATACTATAAAATGAATTTTATTGAACATATCGAACAAAAAAGACGTAGTGAGCAAAGACGGACATCAAAACTTATTTTAGTGAGAAGTTAAATTATGCAAAATAGACAAGTAATTCTATATAGTTGTACAAACACTTCAATATTCGAGGCATTACTTGTTTCATAAGGAATTTATTTTATATTCTAACTATAAGGTTTAAAATACTTAAAAAACTCGTAATAGAAATTAGGGTATCTGAATATTAAATGGGTCAAATTTATATATAAATACATATTTATGTTAAAATATTATATTGGAATGACAATAAACTCATGGATTCCTAAAATAGAGTAGGTGTCATCTTACAACACAGACCTTGTTTGCTTCGAGTCTCCACATTTCGATCATTGTGGAACAAGATATATCAGACAATTTGAATTTAGACCATCCAATTAGGCCCACATCCTACTCTCACACACAGCCCCATGTTTGTTTAGTCTAGCACACACACTAGATCAAAGTGAACTTATTGCACATTGATTCAATCATTCCTAGAACACACACTAGTTTTAACGCATTTGTGGCATCCCATTTTGGTTTGGTAAGTTTCAATGCACGCAATAATCTGTTTGATTGGCTCATTTTTTATAAGCTATTATATAGCTAAATCTCAAAATTATAATAAATTAGTTTTTTTTTTTCAAAAATTAAATTATTTATCTAAATAATCCAGCCTAAGTCAATTCTCAAGAAATGCTTCTCACAATTCTTGAAACCTTCTATATACTCAAAACTACTTATCCAACTCCTGGCTTGAACCCTTCCTTCTATTGCAACATGATGTTCAACTCTTTGCATACAATCCTAGCCATAGCTGACTACTACTCTTTCCCATAGCCAACGCCCCACCTATCTTTTAACCTGCAATCCCATGCCACTTAGGGGTGTCAAAATATAATGCGACATGAAAACTCATCCCGAACCCAACATGAGAATTTCAGGTTTGGGTCAACCCATTTGGAAAGACGTATCTGACGCTTAATTTGACTTATCAATTTTTGTTATGAATAATTGATATTAATTCCATCAAATTTCTCAAATTCAATGTTGCATATAAAATTGAATCGCATGACACTTAATCAATTCAGCTAAATTTTTTTTCAAATTGATTGTGATAAGCTAGGGATTAAAAGGAAATTTGCAAATCATGAAGAAACGCATGAGTGAAGACTGTGATTGTGGCAAGACGCACACAATCGAGCGATGATAGAAGACGCACACATGATCATGGTGAGGCAGACACGATCGAATGAGCCATTGACAATGTGCACGATTATTAAGTGAACCTAATTGGGAAGTTCGAATCAAAATCATCGAGTATATGGGTACTGTGAAGATCAAATCGGAAGACTCAAGGCCGACCAAGGCGTGCGTGGCTTGGTGGTTGTGTAATGTTCAAGCTCAAGCATGACAAAAATGAGATCAACATATGCAACAAGAATTTTAATTTCCTTCAATATGTGCATGTGCTAGCTGGATATGTATTATTCGAGCAAATCTCCATGCACCACTAAGGTTCTTCATTTTGAGTGATTTTGTTAGACCGGTCCATTGGTCCAGGCGGGACCAGTTCACGGGCGAAAATATCGCGAACAGGCGGAGAACAAGCGGCCGTCCGCCCCCGTAGAGCCGTTTAGGAAGTTTTTTTTTTAGCGTTTTGAGAGGGAAATTTGAACGTAGGGATTGTTTAGGGAATTCCTTTTGATTTGTATGCATTAAATAGTTGATTTAGCTAGGGTTTGAGTATCTTGAATTTGGCTGAAATTTGAGATCTCTTAGATTTAGGTTTTCTTTGGGCTCTTGGCGTTGCCAGAGATTTGGGAGAGATTGATCCTCCTCTCGAATTGAGGATCAATTGTATCTTTGCTGTTT